CCTTTGCCATAAACTCATGTTATGCCACTTCTTCCGACAATCAGATTCAAAAAATTTAGTTTCGGGGTAACCTAAGTACCATATAGGCCAGGTGGTTAGAGTCAAAATTGTATTGGGGTAATTTAAATAGCCCAAAATTAATCTAAAATTGGTCGGATTAATATTATGGTTCAGGCTTTGAAAGGATAGAAACATATCATTAAAATACAAATGCATATTATTGAGCTAAATGGATCATATTTAGGCTAATTAAAACATATTGATCCAAAAAACCATATAGATCATGTAATACATAAATTAGACAGGTTGGTTTCAACTTATACAAATTCAGGTCAAACATTTTAACCATATAATTAATGGGCCAAGTCAACTTTGGGTCAAACTCGAACTCTACTCAGCACTTGAATTGAAATCCCAATAAAAAACCTTAGATAAGTTGAACTTAAAATATAATTCATACAAAAATTCTCTAAAATGAATTTAAGTTTAACTTCAGACTTATCCAAAGAAGTTTTAAAGATCTCAAAGTTACTAAATCTTGTTGTGATTTAAAGACAAATCCAATGATCCAACCTTCTAAGCATTGATCTCCTTTGTATGATGTCCACTTAAAAATTCAAATAAACCCATAGACACTTAATGATATACTTCTCGATCTCAATGGTGTAATATGAGAATAATCACCAATGCAACTTAGCGAAATAGGATTATCATCTCTTTGATCTTTCAATGATCTACTACCCAAAGAGCAATCATTAGAAGATTAGATTATTTGCCTACTAAATATGATCATGATGTCACATATTAACGAGTAAAATATTGTTGTTTTCTTTGATCCAATTCAAATCTTTACTAATTATGCCACAATCATGATTAGCATTGTGTAGCACAAAATGGTACTTTAAATAATTAATATAACTCATAAAAGAAATCAATGCAGTCATCAATAGATAAAGGAGTGCGCGTGACAAAACTTTACATGCTATAAATAAACTTCCATATGATGATTCGCTCAAGCTAAGAATAATCATGTGATTAAACCAATATTTGGCACTAAGATTGTGGTGCATAGGTTAAAATAGGAACTTTTCAAAACTAAAAACTGAAGAAGCCATGTATTTTTTGGCAGTACCCCACATGCAATGGGTGCATGACAACACTTGAAGGCCATGCATGAAAATGTTAACTTATCAATAAACCTTCCACAGTTTCTTTTATTTTCAATAGGCAATACGAGAGGAAATTAGGATAAATCGGGATGGGTTCAATTTCAAGATCACTCCCAAAATGTGGGATATTCTAGGATCCATAGTCACCAATACAAATAAAAATATCATATTTTGATAGTTTGAGAGGGATGTAATGCCAATATTAATTTCCTTTAAGACTCGATCCTTCTAACAAAATAATTACTTTCTACTGATGATGAATAATAGAAAATACACAAAATTCAGTCAGTGGTGGAAAATTTTAATCTACTGATTGAAATTAACCATAAGATACAGAGAGAACAAAATTCTACAATAAATGAAAATTTTATGCATACAAAAGAAGCTAAGAATGCAATGTGAATGAATAAGTCCAATCCCACATGGCACTTCTAGGGTAGCCACGAAATAATAAAAGAAAGATGAGCAAAAAAGAAAAAAAAAAGGAAATGAGAAAAATCAAATAAACAAACCCAACATTTGAACAAAAAGAATATCTTTCCCATCAGAGGTCTCAAACTTAACTAAGAACGACATCTAGAGTAAACAAGAAAAAGGTTTTCACTAAGGGCATACTCACATAACTCAAAATTTTACCTTTTTTTATTGAGTAGCTGATGAAATCCCTTGTCGTTGAAAAGAAGAAAACAAAACAAATACAAAATTAAAAGAAGACATTGATACATCTAAAAAAGATCAAAATATAGCTCGAAAAAGATCTAGAGGTGCATCTTAAAAGTTTAAAGTCATCCTATGATAATAAGCTTCTTGTTATACTCCCTCTCAAAAGAAGTGTCGGATAAAGTATCGAACTAGATAGATTTATATCCTTTTAAGTCGTTAAAAGTATAAGTTGTTTCTTCACTGCAAAATTTTGAAAAATAAAAAACCAGAAGATGCAAAAATTTGAAAAATCAAAAACCAGAAGATGCCCCCAAATGTTTTTTTTTTTTTACAATCTTGCTAATAAAAAGATTTCTGGTATTGGATGCCTCAAAAAGAGAGTGGAGGTGAAAATACAATTGAAAAAGAGATGAGAATCAACCACCAATAAAATAATTGTGCATAGCACAAGTTTGGAAGAGCAAATAAGAAAAAAAAACTTTGCATGAAATTTTCTCGAGAAAAACAATCCATCCAAAAATGTTATTTTCAATGCGCAAACATATTCAAGATTCAATAATAAGGAAAGTAAAAATAACCTATGCATTTGAAAAGTATACAAAAAAAATTAATTCAATAAAAAAAAAAGAGAAAACACCTTGGAGAATCAAAGTTAGAGTTCAAGCTAGTCAATTAACTTACTATAAATATTAAAAATATCATTTGATATATGAAATATTATTTTTTTTTATTATAGATGAAATAAATAACTAATTGCTGACAAATTACTAATAGCTTGCCAATAAACTACTAATAAAACTCTAACAAACCACTGTCGAGAAAAAAAACTGAAAAGATAATTCAATAACCGTAGCGTAAGGGAAAACAACTTGATTCAAATTAACCAAAAATTCATCAAGGTGTCAAAATAGTCCCCCTGCCTATTTTCATGGGGTCATTTTAGTCCCAGAGTATATTAAAGTGTCCAATTAGTCCCCAGACTCCTTTAATATGGGGTAAAATAGTAGCCAGAGAAGACTATTTAAGCTCCCGTTAAAAAAATATGGGGACTAAATTGACTTTTTATAGACTCTAAACTAAAATGGCTTCCTGCAAAGAGTCGACGGACTATTTTAAAATTTTTTGACTAATAAATTGACTTCTAAAACCTTTAGCACAAACATATACAATGAAAGGATGAGTTAAACTCTAAGGCTACATAGTGCCATCATGAAACCAACCAGAAAAGGCTAAACCAACTGAAAAATAAAATGATATCTAAGTTTATCTTTTCAAAAGGCTGGAACAATATTGAGCATTTTTGGAAAACAACAAATTAATATTAATACATCTACGAATTTTGGACATAAAATAAAATTTTAGACATAACACTCTTTAGAGTTAAAATTGAGCATAACTAAAGCCACAAGATAACTCAAAAAAACTAGGAAGATTCACAAGCATACCACTCAATTCAAATGTATTTACATATCAGACAACTAAACTACAATGTTTACATATATGCCACCCAACCTAAGCATGAAAAGGTGGATTTCATTTTTAAAAAGTTTAAATACTGGTATTTTTTTATGGGATGTGAAAGATTAGGTGGTAAGCATGTAAAAATCAAAGTTTACGTGTTAGAAGTATACACATAATAATTGGTTCATAAGCATGTAAATGCCCCGAAAAACAATGCAATAAGAGCACATCATATGCTTAAAAGTAACTTGTACAAAACCCTATAGTTCATAGAATGGGGCCAACTAAAAAGTCACTTGATGGCTGAATATGAAAATAAAATGAGAAAGATATGATGGGCGTGTGTTAAAACTATAAATGATCTAGTATAGTGATATTAGAGAGGCGGTATAGCGATATTAGAGAGGCATCTATTGACATTAAACTTAGATGCTTTCGGCATGTGAGGAATCGATGTGGAAGGATTAACAAAAGAATGGGCAGACCAACGGTAACATAACTTGAAGTCCAACAAAACAAAATCAATACCTCACATAGCACCTAGTAGGGACCATATTCTAATCTTTTAGGGGTGTTTGGCTGCAAGTAAGATTCAATGTTAGTAGGATTTAGTAAATCCTTAAATCATAAATCTTATTTCCATTAAATTCACCATAACCCTAGATTTAGTAAATACAAATTTAAGCCAAAACGAAGGAAAAAATTCCGGACCCTAAATCGAGAATTCATAAATCCACTCAACTCATGTGTTTTAGCGTTTGGTTAGATTTAGTAAATCCGATGAAAAATCCAAAAGTTGGTAACAAACACCCCCTTACGATCTTTTCACAAATTCAAAAATCTTACATGAAGGAAGCAGAAAATCTTTCTTCTTTGTACTTGCAGCTCTTTGATTTATCCAACCATTTCCTTCCAATCTCTCGGAAATCCTCCTTTGCTTTTCATCAAGCGCACTATACCCCCCAAGACTTTTTTCCATTTCTCCCAAAATCTTTTATGACAATGTGTCAAATAAAGTGTATGTTCTCAATGTAGTATTCTAGTATCCTCAAAGTTTAGCCCTAAACATCAAAAAAAAGGGGAAGCACAGCTCACCTTCCATGCTCGCAGAGCTCTTTCATCAGCGGAACGCGATCCGCTGGAAGGCCCGCCACAAGCATAACCTCCCGCAGCTCCTTACAAAGATCCTCGTCACTCAACGCAGCCCTTGATGGCCTTCCCTTCTTCTTTCTACCGAAGAAAAAAAAAAACTGAAGCATTAACAAGGACAGGTTTCTGAACATCTTAACGTGGGTGACAGAGAATACCTAGGTTTCTCCGCCGAGAAAGCGTAAATGAGGTTTTGATGTGATATGCGTTTCAGATGAGATTTTTTGGGACCGGAAGAGAAAGACAAGTTGAAGGAGGTGCTAGGAGAAAGGCACAGATGTTTGTAAAGAGCCATTAACGGAAGTATCTACGAGCTTCCAAAACTGCGTTTTAGCAAGTTGGAAAGTGGAGGAAGAATTCACTCAACCAAACGGTCACTAAAATCACCGCTAATTTACTCAATCAAACGGTCCCTAAAAAGATATTTTCCATAAATACTTAAAACAGAATTCACTCAACCAAACGGTCACTAAAATCACCGCTAATTTACTCAATCAAACGGTCCCTAAAAAGATATTTTCCATAAATACTTAAAACAGAATTCACTCAACCAAACGGTCACTAAAATCACCGCTAATTTACTCAATCAAACGGTCCCTAAAAAGATATTTTCATAAATACTTAAAACAGAATTCACTCAACCAAACGGTCACTAAAATCACCGCTAATTTACTCAATCAAACGGTCCCTAAAAAGATATTTTCATAAATACTTAAAACAGAATTCACTCAACCAAACGGTCACTAAAATCACCGCTAATTTACTCAATCAAACGGTCCCTAAAAAGATATTTTCATAAATACTTAAAACAGAATTCACTCAACCAAACGGTCACTAAAATCACCGCTAATTTACTCAATCAAACGGTCCCTAAAAAGATATTTTCATAAATACTTAAAACAGAATTCACTCAACCAAACGGTCACTAAAATCACCGCTAATTTACTCAATCAAACGGTCCCTAAAAAGATATTTTCATAAATACTTAAAACAGAATTCACTCAACCAAACGGTCACTAAAATCACCGCTAATTTACTCATTCACGAACAATTTCGAACACGAGCTTATTTCAAACAAATTAAATTTCAAACGAACCGAACACGAACACAAGCTCTGTTCGTTCTTGTTCGGTTCGTTTACACCCCTAGCCATCTTATAAATAATTGATTTTCATTTATAAAGTTGCGTCTGCATTGAACTAGAAAAAAATAAGCTTTCAAGTTTGACGAATAATAATTAAAATTATGAAATTAATGATATAAATGGTGTAATGATCATGTAATATATGCAATATAATATAAATATGTCACGAAATATAAATCATATTAAATGACATCCAATATAAAATTATGAAAGGTTGGAGCTCTCTCCAAAAATCCAATCACACCATATATTATTATTTATAAATAATATGATAACATTTGACAAATTAAAGAAGAAAAAAAATTATGATTTTCTAAAAAACTTATATTAAAGTAGATGGATTAGCCAATCCCATGAAAAAGTGATTGAGAATACCGGAGAATGTCTCAATAAGGGAAAGGGAGAAGGAACCAAAGAATGGTTAGCAAAGAATGGCCTACACAAAGACTGTTCAAGAACAAAGCCACACAAGAATTTTTGGGCATATAATTTGTGGTTTGATATGTTGGGATGTTTTAAGTAAATAAATTTCATAAAATATATTGTAGCCCTTGGATTACAAGTTAATGGTGATATGAGTATAAACTAGCAGGATCGAGATCATTGACTTGAGCTGGAGCTTGAGCTTGATTAATTTTATTAAATTCGAGCTCGAGCTCAAGCTTAAGTTTACAAATTCAAGCCGGTTCACGAGCCTTTTTGTTTATTATAAAAGGGAGAAAATAATATTAATTTAAATTAATGGTATAATATAATAACAAATTGAATGAGAAATAATGAGTGAAAAAATTAAGAAATCATTTTCTATAAAATACAAAATATTATTTTTTAAACGTTTTTAATACTTTAAAGAGAATGTCTTCAAACTTAATATATTTTGAGTAAATTTTATATTAATTTTTTTTTAAACAAGCCGGCACATGAGATAACGAGTCGAGTCGGGCAAGCTTGAGCATGTCATGTCAGCTCATCGAGCGCAGTTCACAAGCCACTTATTGAGTCGAGCTCGTGCTAGCTCACAAGTCGTTTTGGCTCACTTACACCCCTAATAGTGATTAATGAGGTCAAATTTCAAACAGACATTTGTTGATTTAATATTTTACTAATTGAATCATAGGTTCTCATTGTTATGCTGCAAAATCAAATTCTCAAGTTGATTGAACTAGTTGTATGATCATTTCATTGTCTAAAGTGGTTGAAATGACCAATTCAATCTGATTTTTAAATCATTGGTTGGTGTGCTGGATAAAATTATTAGACAATTTAAGACTTTTTATCTCATCATCCAACTATTTAAAGTTTTGGGGTTGTCGTTCTCTAAGGCTCTAATTCATCAAATACTATTAGTGTTGTTCAATGATTAACATAATGAGAGATAGTTCTCCGTATTTAACTTGTAGTTAAAACACATGATTTGTGGTTATTGGACTTATTTTTTTATCATAACATTGGGTTTTACAAAATTTTCATTACATGAAAAAATTAGGGGGATGAGTAGTACAAAACACATTAATAAGCAATTATAATAATCCTAACAAAGTAGAACTAAATAAAGCATTTATGATGTACAATAAAAAATAGAATTTATAAAAATTAGGCTTTATAATCTTAAAGATATTAATCTACCCAATCTTGATAAACACAATACTATCTCAATTGAGATGTGAATTAAAGAAAGCATTGTTTTGAATCATACATGGTAGCATAGTATAGGAGAGGATGTTAAAGATGAGAAAGCAATGAGAGGCAGATTGGCGTGGGGCAATGAGAGTACAGTGTAGTTTCACTTGTTGAATACACCCACAAATCTACAACATTATCATATAGTAAGGCAATTGTTCTATTGTTCCATTTACTACATAGTTTCTTATCATATAATTGTATTTTGCAACCCAGTAAAATTTTAATATTTTTGCATCATATAGACACTTTATGTTATCTAATAAGTGAGCAAAAATAATGTCACTCAAAGATATTTGAATAAAGCATTATTAACATGGATGAATTATTTGATAAGCACTAAAATGTAGTAATCCCCCATACAATAAACTTAAGAGAAAAATTGCTTCAAGTGGCCTAAATTTGTGCTGATATCCATTGAAGATCAAAATTGGTCTTTGGGAAGTTAGGTTACTTCATATCCCATACATGTTTTAATGTAATGAATACAACTTATAGGATAATATACAATATCTCACTACATATGAAAGGTCATGATCTTTTATGACTCTAATTTCTCTTGTATTTGAAAAAACCTTTAGTGTTTTCATAGATTACCTCAAGTATCATGAGTATTAACACTTTTTTCATTCAACCAAGCTAGTATTGGGGCATTATGGCGTTTAGTCCTGCTCTTAGCAATAGATTTCTGAGCAAGAATCTCAACCTCAACATTTTCTTCCACCTGCTGCTGAGAACTATCACCAGATACCTCATGAGCTACGATTGAATTAGATATATGAGTCAGAGGGGACAAACTCTATATAATAAATGGAGTTGCATCAAACTCCAACTTTCGATGATTATTTGTGGTCTTAGTAGAGCTTTCCACTTCTTTAAGTCTCGATTTTTCAACAACTTGTCTCGTAGCATGTAACATCCCTACTAATGACAATAATTCTTTCCGAAGAATCATAAAACTTAAAGGCTTTGACACCACACATGTAGCCAATAAATATCGTCTTGTTTGTTTATGGTTCTGATTTCTCATTCTGCACGTGGTAGTAAACTAGACACTCATATGCTCTCATGTGCTCATAATCTCTAGCAGGATGTCCTAACCACATCTCCATTGGGATCTTCTTCCTAATAGCTGCAGAAGACAGATGATTCACCAATTTACATACCCACACAATTCTTTTGATATTTACATTATGACTGTTTTACCTATACATCAAAGGGCTAAAAGAGTGTTTCACTTTTAAAAACTTCCATCTATTTGTACAATGAAGTAATTAAAAAGACTCTCAATTTTGAAATATAATTTAGCAATCACCAAAAGAAGGAAAAAAATCAAAAAAAGCTAGAATATATGCATACTTGCAAAATAAAAAAAATCATAATTGTGACATAACTGAGCAAATTCTAAGGTAAGAATTAATTTTCCTATTGACCTATATTCTTTAAATTTTACTTTTATTTTAATTTCAGAAAGCATATGGGCTTTTGCTTTCATTTTTGAGAGAAGAATTAGAGAAATTATATTCACATCATCAAAATTAATAAATTTTCACAAGATAACTTATTAATAAAAATGATTTAAGATCTAAGTAAAATTTCCTCTTTGCTTGATGAATTATATGTACAATTTTAATGTAAATAGCATATATATATATATATATATATATAGACACTTAAACTTTCTAAACTCTAGTGACAACAAAATATTCCAACTTCAATTAAACTTGTTCATTTTTTATTAAAATATGAATAGAAAGAGGAATTTCAAATCATGTAAAACGTAGAAAATATAATCTTATTTGAGTACCACATAAAGTCTAATTAATATGAATTCTAATACTTCGTGTTCATTAAGCTGAATAAAGATTAATATTGTTCATTAAATATAATACACATCAATTCCAAACAAAATTTTATACTAATTTGTTATAATGAAGAATAATACAATTTAATTAAATCTTAAATCATCCTTCAACTCAGAGTAGATGAACATTTGCGCTAGAATATACTAATATATTTTTTATGAGAATGAATTTGAACTTTTAAATCCTCATGTTTATTTTTATTTAAAATAAATGGTCAGAGACTATTATATAAGCCTCCAACTACACCTAATGTGTCTAATAATTCAAGTACCACCTCCTTAAGACTAACGTAGCCAGGAGGCATTCAAACCACCAACCTGAGGGGTCGGGTCTTATACCGAGGATGACAACCAACAGACCCAAATACACGGAACAATCTTCAGGTTTATGTTGAAATTAATATCATACATAAAAAAATATATATTAAAATTATCACGTATTAGATTTAATTGTTTTAATATTGTTTGATAAAAAAAAAAATAAATGAGAATATTATGAGCTTTTCTATTCCTTAAAAAACAACTTTTTTCCATTGTCAAGCCAATATTGACTAAAAAGAATCATATTAGAAGTTTAGAAGGCATTTTACATTTTCAAATAATGTAAACTTAATTTTTTAAAAAATAAATATTAATGAGATTTATATATGTAAGAATTAGAAACATAAATAAGTAACAATTTTTATAGAATATA